TATCGGGCGAGTACTGGAAAAAGTGGTATCGGTGCATCCCTAATATATATATATTCTGACAAATAGCTAGTATAGCTTTTTATGCAAAAATGTGATTATTTATACAAATAAGTTTTATTTATAGACCATTTTCGCAGAACAGAAAAATAATTATATTATATAAATTATATTATAACAAATTAATATAATAATTATTAATAACAATTTATTTTGTTGATCATTTTATATATTAAAAAAAAATATTTGTCAACTTTAATGCACCAGAAACAGATGGACTTGAAGCTAACAGGCATGGACTAAAAGCCACAAGATGTGGTCTTTAAAGTAACAATGAAACAGCACATCACCAGAGAAGTATAATGTTTTCACTGGAAGATCTAGTTATGACAAATTGATTAAACATTACGGGGTCAAAAAAAATTTAAATTGAAACACATGCATGGATGATTTGTTCACAATAAGATCAACAACATGCATTCAGACTAGATGGGGTGAATTTTCATTTCATGTCTTTAAATGCTTCCATCCTTTTTGTGTTTCCTTCCTAGGTTTTGTAGAGCTGGAACACATATTGAAAACATGCCAACTGTATTTGAAAACACAACAGATCAAGATCATCGGGGCTGGGGATACAGTACAGCTGAAGAGGGACATGAGGAGGACGTAGCCGCATGATATACCACCACCACCAGGCTCAATGGATCTTTTTGGACTTCAGTGTTTAACTCAGGGGAGCCGCGGGGTTACTGGACCATACCGTACTCCCTTCTTCAAACCCACGAACCCTTATTTTGCAGGACCGCAGAATACACTACTGAAGACCAACACAAAAAATATATATATTTAAAAAAAGAAAAAGAAGAACAATGTAAGTCCTCAAAAGGCTCTGAATCTATGAATAAGTAGTACGGGAAAAAAACACTTTTTACAACTAAGATAGACTTTTAGATGGGAATCATGTAATATTGAACACGTCTTTGGGAAAACTTTTTAAAGAACTGTTTTAGACACCAACAAAATGGATAAAAAAAAAATTTAAAAAAAACTTGAAAGACAACTTTTTGGAAGAATGTGACAATTCAGGACAAGAACTTGCTTCGACTCGGGATGGCCAACTTTTTTTCTTGGAGTGCCTGTCCGTTTCCAGGGGCAACGGCTGCCACAAACCGCAGCCTCCGTCCGCTGGGAGACTTACCTGTCATTCCTTAGCTGTGTAGGGACCAAATGACCAAACCTTTTTATCACAAATGAAACAGAAGAAGAAAAAAAAAAGACTCATACCTGTAACATAATTGGACCACTGCATCTCTTGCTGTGCCAATCGGTTTAAGAGCTGTATTTTAAAAAAAAAAAAAAACGATATATGTATAAAAAGAACATATATGACTATATGCATAAATGCATACATATAGATTGCTGATATGCTTTTTAAATACTGGCAGAAATATTTCCGATGGCCCGTTGAGGCCGTTCACTTCGCTAGTTTACAATTACTGCTCAAAATGAAGAATATTTATTTTTATTTCTCGTCTAGTTTTTCTCTGTGGTGAGAGAAAGGGTGCATGGGAAGGGTTGTTCCATAATGCAGCCTTACCTTTTCTATCTTATGTCCTGACCTTGTAGTTAAGAGACCATCTTAAAGAGGTTTGAGATAAACAATCCTGTTTATATAAAACGTACATACATACAATATGTATAGCAGATGTTCAAGCAATATGTATTCATATTTATGCACCTGTACAGCATATATATGGATGCATACGATATTAATCCCAAAACCCATATATGTATTTATATGCATATATTTTATATGTGTGTATATATAGAAACCGGCTATTCAATATGTAGAGCTGTAATTTTTTTTGTAGATTTAAGCTGGTGTTTGAAACCACTGCTTTGCTTTGGACTTTTACCACTGGGAAGAATCTCAAATCGGCAGCTGCAATCTGCAGGCATTCCTCTCGATCCGATACGACGTTTCTTATCCGCCAACACACACACACACACAAGGATAAGAACACTGATTCCGTTTGTGTACATGTGTGTATATGCTACTTACAAATGCAAAAAGGCCTCCTCTCGTAAGAGAGTTTAATGAGAATCAGGATCATTACGAAATAGTACAGAATACGGACATATCTGCCTCCAGCCTCTGCAAACATTCGCAAACAAACAACGCTATTCAGTCGAACCGAGCGCCGGTTTTCTAAACGAACGCCCGGCGGTTTTTCGAACCGCGATCGCGCATGCGCCGTCGTATAGTCAGCAGTGCGTCCGTGCACCTGGCAGCACTGTGCTACAACACCGCTAGCAGCCATTCATTATTATTATGATGATGATGTCAAAACAACGGAAACACTCTCCTTACTTACAAAATAAAAAGAATACTACTATAGCTACAGCTAACAGCAACGCCTTCAAATATCTGTTGACATGACAAACCTGTGCAGCTTGACACCGCCATTTACCGATTTACACCCACTCTACGTTCTGCGGTTACAATGAAGTGGGCATTATGTACGTTTTGCACAAGTGTCAGAATCCGCATCACATTGCGTGTTTACATGTGCTGCTTCAGCGTTCAGACGGATTCGAGGGGTTTTCCCGCGTGCGTGTTGAGGATGGAACGCGAGTTATTGCATTTCTTGTTATTGCAAATTGAGGACTTGTACGACTTTTGGTTATGCTTTTCGATTGACCTATTATACAAGATGGCACTATTGTAAATATATGATAATTTCAGAGCTGGTTAATTCGCTTTACCTAAGAGTAAAGCGTCTGTATAGAGGGTAAAAAGCAGTAGTCTGTTCACCTCATTTCGAAGGGGAATCCAGTTCTGAATCGACGCGTCTTCAGACGGGTTCCGAGAATGTCGTATTTTGCCTTCTAGATCTTTCCTACACATGATCATTCAGGTATTCCAGGATCTTTTGCAAGAATATGCATTCCGTCTGTTGGATTTCAGTGTCGCCTGTCTTTCTCTCCCTTTCGGTCTCACACCATCTGTCTCGCGCTCATCATCTTCCATGTTAACCGTTTCAGCTGCAACTGTTTACATAGCAATCTGGCAATGTAGAGTTGACAAAACCGACAAGACAGAACAGAAATTTTATTATAAATATATAGAAGTATATACATGAACTACTGAATATACTGTAAATGTTTTTTCTCTTTTTTGCTCTGTTCCTCTGTATATAGGTTTGCATATTTTATAGTCTTTTACTTCAATCTAGAAGGACTGGATGACTAAGAAAATTTAGAGACAAAAAAAATGAAACACTGAATTAAAGCAGGTAAACTCTAGCCCTTAGAGATGCAATATGGTTGTAAAGTATTATGGAACGTAAGAAGAGCCAATCAGATTTGATCCGAACATTAATGTCACTTTCAGAACTGCTGCCAACATGCTTATTTGCCTATTTATGTATTCATTTGTTCATTTATTTCAAATGGCATTTGTTCATTTTTTTTTTTTTCATTTTAAAATACTATGTACTTTTATCATTTACATGGTTGAAATTTTTATGTTTGTAACTGCACTGAATATCATTTTGTCATTTAAACGATTCTTTTTAAAATATATATTTTTTACATGTTTTTGTATTGTGAGACACAATGGAACAATGCAACTGGCAGAATCAGGGTAATCCTTTATGGAGAATGTAGAACTCATGAAGGACTGGTGTCAAAAGTTTTCGCTGCACCTGTTAGAACTGTCTGCTGTTTTCTTCTGTTCTGCGATTCCATGCGTCTGTCAGAACTCCGATTTGCTTCACTGCTTTTTCAAACACTGGGAAAAAAATAAGGAAGAAAAACTGCACTAATCCATCAGACTCTCAGCAACTCATCAGAAAGAGTCTGAACTTACAAGGAACAATGCAGTAAAATGGGGTTTAAAAAAAAGAGAAGAAAAAAAAAACATTTTCAGACATTTTGAGCACATTTGAGCGTGCTGGGTGGTATCTGTGGATTTATGCCAAGCCTATTACAATGAGATTGAGTTGTATTAGCAGTCGGAGTACTGCTGCAGCTCTTGCCCTGTTCTTAACTCCACCTTTCTCTTGTCCCTAGACTACAGACTCTCAGCAACTCATCAGAAAGAGTCTGAACTTACAAGGAACAATGCAGTAAAATGGGGTTTAAAAAAAAGAGAAGAAAAAAAAAACATTTTCAGACATTTTGAGCACATTTGAGCGTGCTGGGTGGTATCTGTGGATTTATGCCAAGCCTATTACAATGAGATTGAGTTGTATTAGCAGTCGGAGTACTGCTGCAGCTCTTGCCCTGTTCTTAACTCCACCTTTCTCTTGTCCCTAGACTATCTTTTGTAATTTTACTGAATGACGAGTTTCCGCTTAAGCCCAGTAATAAAGCACAGTGTAGAATAAAGCAGCATTATGCTTGTCCCATTTTCTGCTGTATGTCTATACAAGCCTTTCTATGAGTTGTTTTTATCTCTTTCTCTCTTTTTATGGATTTGTGGCACGACTGATGTACACTGAAACCACTTCAAAGGCGGAGGGTTTACATGCACACACACACGGGCGCACATCTCTGAAACTTTCTTTACGACACTTCAGATCAAATTAGACCAATAGCCCTAGAGCGATGTTTGGCTGAATCCCATTGCATATACTGATGCTCTCAGATCGAGTTTGACGTATCAAAGCATATACGCCGTGTATATTGGAAAAGCAGGGGAATAGGAAAGTGAGGGGAGGCTTTAAAAACGGCCCTGTAGAAAAAAAATTAATTTGTTAATATATGCAGAAAACTCAGTGACTCGTGATTATTGTGGAAAACACAGCACTGCCTAGAAATACTTCTTAATGACTAGTCACTCGTACGAGAATGTCTCATTTCCTCAAGATGACAGTGGGATACACGTTACAGATCACAGCAACTGTTCGTGAGAAGCTCTTTAAACGTATACGTTGCCAAGTTAGTTCCTTGGAAAGCCTGTGGACTTTAATGGAGCTGCTGCCCAACCATCTGTGACTGAATAAACAACACCATTTATTAATAAACATTTTAAGGCAAAAATAAACCATTTATTTATCTTAAAATTAAGACCATAATTATTTCAAGACACTAAACACATTTAAAAGGCAGAATTAGGAGCTCATGAATAATTAATGATCATTCAAATCCAGTTATTCCAACAATCAACCTGAATCGCCTTTATAACTCTTCAACAGATGAAAAAGATGTCTTCGAAGATCTCACTCTCCTCCAGGTCTTGCAGAGAGGACCGACTGGGGCCAAAATGAGAGAGAAGGGTCTTCTGAGAGGACTGAGGGGCAACGGAACTCATCCGTGATGACTGATTGATTCGGTACCTTTCTAGGTTGGATGCAGGGCTGAAAATGTCCAACAGCTCAATCAAAGAGTCGTCCAACCTAACAATAAGAAGAAAAAAAACAGGACTAAGCGGAAATGTCATATAGTTGTTTTATACACCAAAACAGAAGTGGACAAATGGGATATAAAAAAAGCATGACAATTTACATATCACTCAGAATGCTGTACATCCTCATATTCCCCTACATAAAAACAACTTTATTGTTGTTGTCTGAATAGACAACAGAGTTCACAGGCTTTGAAACGTGGCCTTAGGGTGCATATGAAGATTCCTAGTTTGGAAGGAAAACTGAGCGCCGAGCAAGGAGATAAATAAATAAAATAAATAAACAAAGAATAAGCTAATAAAGATTCAACCCCTCAGTCGAGGTGCTTAATAAATTATTCATCGAATACAGACGCGCACATTTCAGATATGAAACATGAATTCTTAAAGCACGCTCCACTGATGCTGCTAACATAATTCACTGCTCATTCTAAACAGCATTGATTTGCATCCATGCAGCAGAGGGGATGAGTGGGTATTCATACAGAGATGTGTGTGTGTGTGTGTGTGAGGGATCTCAGCTCCTATGAGAGGCAGAAAACGGTGTCATCCACTGAGTGCCTCTGACATATGAAAGCAGTATTTGCTTCACAGCCATGATAGCGGTGATTATACAGGACGCTGAGACACATGCCATCCACTATTTCCTTCGTGTCTGACACTTTTTGGGTCTGAAATCATCAAAGTATCGGCTACACCTCAAAATGTTTCCACAGAAAGGTAAATAGAAATTAAAGGTTGTCAATGTCAAACTTCCATACTTCTCAGGAAACACATTAGCTTTGTTCTAAAACCTAGCTGCCTTCTAAGACAACATTCTACCTGAGATGGAAACTCAACAGAGATTGATTTGGAACAATTAATAGAGACAGCAACTCCTCATATAAGGATAAAATAGTTACTTTTAATAAGACTGACCTATTTCTTGTGTACTTTTCAGCATTAAATGGAATATATGCACTTAAATCTCATCTTGCCCGTCATATTGGATTTCTTTTTTCACTGAGCTTGACGCAATGCATTCTAGTACTGCCTTCACCAGAAAAAAATCTTGAATTTATTAAAAAATATTAAGATATTAATGCTGCCTACCTTTTTTGCCTAACCTTATGTTGAAAAGAGTAGCTATAATGCTTTAAAATGCTGTTTGGATAAGCAATCACACTAGAACAGAGGTAGTAAATCAGTCACTCAATAACAGTATTCTTGCATTCAAATATGGTACATCAAGATGTGTCATGCCAAATTTGACATTTATGACATCATGTCATTGGTTCTTGGGGGTCTCATAACTGACCGTCACTGACATCAAACCAACACCGTTAATTTCATTAACGAAAACTGATGAAACATATTTGTTTATGACCTTTTTTCCTTGACAAAGACGAGATGACACCAACATCATTAAACTGTGACTATATCAACATACAATATTGCTGACGAAAAAAGACGAGACTAAAATGTAGTTTAAAAAATGAAAATAAAAAATAAATCAGGAAACTAGATAAGGGAAAATAAACCATGTGTATGAGTTGATATTCTCTTTATTGTGCTTATAGGTGAAAGTGCAATAATTCTGATGAAATTTCTCAAATCACAACAATCATGAACATTAATCGCAATTAAAATTGAGCAAAATAATTGTGATTATAAATGTAACCATTATGCAGCATGACTAAAATATGACGAGTTTTCATTGACTAAAACTAGACTAAAATTGTCAGACTTTGTCAATTAAAACTTGACTAAACAAAACAAAACAAAAAAATAGTTCGACTAAATATGATAAAACCTAAAAAGGACATTTGACAGTTCTAAGACTAAATTAAAACTATTAAAAAATTAAAACTAAGGGACTATTTTCAGAAGAACATAGTGAATATAGAAATTACTTTTATGGACTACTTTTAAGGTGCAGTAATTTCTGAGAACTTTCACAGGCAAAAGAGTCAACTGTCAATAATTTAGCAATAAAGCAATGAAGACAAAAGTCACTTTCAAACCAAGAATCTTTCTGTTTGATCAAGGCAATGAATCCGTGTGACCAACTTGAACCCATTGCGAAATCAGCGTAGGAAAATATTTTACCCTCACGCGAAATTACTGATCACTTGAAATAACTGGATTTTGCCAATGACATTTACAATGGTAAATGTTGTCATTTTTGAGGCTTACAACCCAAACACTTTTCATTGCAAGAAAAAAGGCAGCCAAAACATTCTTCCTGCAGGTTTGAAACAACATGAGGATGAACAAATGATGACAAACTCACTTTCAGGAGAGCTATCCCTTTAAAGTCTAAAATTATGCCAACTTCTCCCACCTTCCCACTGTCTATTTCTGTTGACCAGGTGAGGACTGAGTGAACTGAAGAGCAAACTGGTCAATCTCTGCACAGGTAAAGATGAGTTTTGAGGCTGACGGATTGATCCCCAGAGTGTTGAACACATGTTCACACAGCCAGCTCGGTGGGGTTCCTGAGCACCTGTTCTCCCTCATGCTGGGACTGATGAAGGTGCCCTAGCTCTGGAAGACATCCTGCATTGTTCCGCTGCCAAAGATCGGAAACCCCCGGTTCCCTGAGGACTACAGACCAGTTGATCTCACTTCACACATTGCGAGGACCTCTGAAAAGCTGGTCCTTAGATAGACCACCTGGACCCAGGACAGTTCTGACCCTGGACTCTGGAGGCAGTAACCATTCACCATTAGCAAACCTACATATGCTGTACTATACTGGCTGCTCTGCCTACTGCCATCAGACAAACACAAGAGCTCTGGTCCAAACCCTAGAGAGCTGTCTTGCTGTCTACTGCATGTATGAGAGGTTCTTCACAAGGGACTGATCTGAAACAACCAACATAGGCAGCAACTCCACATACCATATCAAGTGCACAGGAGACTCGACTCACAATTGATTTCAATGCTGTGTTATTTTTGGTAATGTTAATATAATGTTAACTAATATTTTAAATCAGCTTTAATACTATTAATATTTTCAGATTTCTTTTTAAGTTTTACTAATTTTGTTATGTGCTTTGTTAGTTTTATTAGTTTTTTATATCTATATATATTTTTTATATCTATTTAGCTTTATTTTTATTTCAGTTTTAGGTAATTTAGTATGTCAACATTTTATTTCAGTTAGTTGCCATGGTAGCATTTCTAATTTTCCTCCTCTTCTTTGTGGCCACCCTCATGATACTTCCAGATGCAGCCCTAGTGAGAAGTCACTACATTGCACATTTCCAATTCTTGAAACCCAACTGCATTTCAGCGATAGCATAAAACAGTTAATGTAGACTTCCACTCTTATACTGTGTTTGCACTGTTAACTTGTCAACCCATATTCCAGTAATACATACATAATCATGTCTCATTTCACTCCTGCAATTTTACACTGAATGTTTCTGAGTACTCACTTTTGATGTTGCTGTTATTTTGTATAAATGGAGTTTTCTTAATGAAATTACTTTGCAATAAATATTATGTTACAAGAATTATGATCATAACTAACAGACACAAACAACATTTGCACTTTATCTGTCAGGTATGTTTCATTTGCTAGTGATTACAGAGCCAGTTACAAGACTGTTTGAGAAAGAGACTTGCTCAATGAACGTCAGTATGCAACTACATACATTTACTCACAATAAAAAAAACTGTAACAAATATTTCATGACATCATAATAGATCAAGCTGCTTAATGTTCTTTTGCTTTTAAGCCTGAAACTTGAATCTAGGCTTCATTTATATCCAGTGCTATAACAATGATAGTAATGTCCAATCCGGGAATCTCATTTTGCCATTTTGTCGAATGACAATCGATTACCATCCGACAATTCTTTTACACATTTGCATCAGAGGGAAAGAGAAAGAGAAGGAGAGCTTACACTGAGGGTGGATGGCTGATGGGGTGGGAATTTGGTAAGGCTCCCTCTTGAAATGTGAGAATTAGCATTTTTATTTGTTGATTTATTTAACGGACAGGCCTCTCAAACAGCCATCCATCAATGGACGACACTGCCGATATGAATAATGCATTTCTTAACGCCGGTCACAATCTATAACAAGGGAAGGGGTAGGTGTAGTTTGGGCAGGGGAGGGGGATGTTAGGGCATTGGTAGGAGGAAATTGCCGGAGAGAATGCTAATGTGTTTGGCAGTCATATTTACCCAAACGCTTTCATTGCTTTTCACAAGGTCCACTGGTGTATGACCATGAGACATTAATATCACTTAAGAGGAGGTTTGCTAATCCCAAATGCTATCTGTCCATTCAACGGATCAGTAGGGGTTGGGAACAGAGTTCAAGATGCCTGAAATAGAAAAGTAAAGGTGAGCGGTACAATTGCAGTATTTAAGTCATTTAAGAACACTGAAGAGAACTAATGAAATATTAAAATAATACAAATATTTTCAAAAATGAATATATATATATCCATTTTAATACAGAAAATATTACATGAATATATCATAATATTAAATATATGATACATATAAAAAATATTATTTAATATAGAATAAATGCTTTTTAATTTAGTTTTAAAAAATGAAAGTGACTTCAAATCAGTGAAGCTGTCTTCACAAGAAGCAACCAATTGTGATACTCTTTTTGGAGAGTAGGCTGAAGTTTTTTGCTTGGTGGATTTTTTTTTAATCATACAAAAGTAAAGAATATACTAAAATCTCTACAGGTTAACTCATTTTGCAAACATGGGCATAAAAAACTCCTACTCACATCAATGAGAGTGAGGAAGAGTAAAATACAGAGAGAGGGTGAAAGAAAGAATCAGGTTCTACTTCAATAATTCCAAACAAAAGACAGTTTATCAGTTTCCAGACTCCAGTTATTTTACTGTTCTCATTAAAAATGACCGTCACACCTGAGAGCCCAAACAAATTTGTAGCCCAAACAGTAATATAAAAATCCGAAAATGGCAAATACCGACAAAACTGTATGTCAATTTTCTTCCAAATCAGTAGTAAGCTG